GACACATATAGGTGGCCTGAGAGCCTACCATCCTTCCTCCCAAGGGCTGGGAGCATCCCCCAGTGCAGCCTGGAGAGGTGACAATGGTGGCATGGGAGTGTGGGGGACAGGGCCACTGTTCTCGCTCTCACCTCCATTGCCATTTTCCAATCTGCCACTGCTGCCTCTCTTCGCCTCAGGGCCCCCCTAAAGTACACACAGATAAGCCAGGAGACCCAGGTCACAGAAGGACTTGGAGTGCTCTTGCTGCCCACAGCTTTACCCCAGGCCCTGGGAAATCCCTACTCACCGAAGGGCCTGGGGCCCAGCTCTGGCCTCAGTTGCCCATAGGGCCCTGGTGGGGAGGGATGGAAAGTGGGAGAACTGAGTTCCCAATGGCCCTTGTTCTGGTCTGTTACCTTCCCATTTTAGCCCAGGTTCTAGGCTCATACTCAGGGCCCTCTGCTCTACCGGCCCCTCCTCTAGCCCTATCCATCCCTGCCTGTCCCCCACCTACTCCATCACAAATGCTCTCTCCATCTCTGCAGGTTTATGGGGTGGGCCTGGGCCAGGACCCAGCTCCTTAAAACCATCCCTCACACCCACAATGCTCTTCCACACACCCCATTACCTGGCTGGCTCCTTATCCCTGGATATGCACCTTTGGCTCCATATCCAGAGTTCAGTGAAGACTCCCAGGTTTGGAGGAAGGGCCAAGGAATGCCCCTCAGGGCCCCGGCCTGACCTGCAGGAGGAGAGCTAGCATGGGAACCCCTGCCCACCAGAAGTCGACATGCAGGATGCCCCAGTCCTGCTGGTGCCTCAGATCCCCCCACCCACTCAGGCTGGTCCCCATAGCCCTTGTCAGAGTTTACTCTGCTCCCTGAACTCTTTTCTTACCATTTCCTTCAGGAGCTGGAGCTTCTGCTTTGGGGTACATCAACATTTCCTTGCCATACCCTGAAAGAGATCTGTGTGATTCCTGTCCAGCCCTTGGATGTCCCTTCCCCTCAGCCCCTGAATTCTGTCCCCTTGGTTTGTCTTACCATTCCTAAAGCCATTGGCCCCAGGGAACCCTGGAGGAGGAAAGAGGTCAGAGGCAATAGCAGCCCCTCAGCCTGGAGCCCCCACCCCGACTCCGCCCCCAATCCCACTCCCCAGGCACCTGGCTTTGGGAGGGTCTCAGGGAAGACCCCAGTTCCCAGACCACCATTCCCGTAACTGAAACCTACAGGAGAGAGGTTGGAGAGAGCCTGGAGGGGAGGGTGGTATTGGGGAGCCCAGAGTGACCTGCTCTTGGAGAGACAGATAGATTGACTGACTCAGAGGCCACCTAGAGAGAGCCTCTCACATCACCCCCACCCTCAAGCTAACCCTATTCAACCTTCACCTTCCAGAAATTTCCCTGGCTTCCCTCTGGGCAGCTTCCCTTTCCACCTGGCTTCAGTCTGTCCCTCTACCCTCACCTGAGTCAGGATTGCACCTGGTTCTGGCCACCATAATGGCCCAGTGCGTAGTAAAAATGTGCTGAGTGAATGAGGAAAGAGACAGACAGACATGATAAAAGAAAGCAATGAGGAGGGCTCGCCATGAGGGAGGTGCCAGTTCATGCCCAAGATGAGGACCCTCAGGGCTCACCAACTTTCTGGAGTTTGAGGCCATCACCAAAGCCTGGGGTAGAGGAAATGAGGGTCAGAGATGGGGAGTGTCAGATATATCCAAAAGAGGGGAGGGGAGGGAGGAGAACTCAGATGAAGGGCGTCCTCACCCAGTTCTGCTCCTGGTCCATAGCCATTCGAAGGCTGGTACCCTGTGAGAAGGATGGAGATGAGTGGGGAAGACCCAGATATTTTCCAACTACAGACCTTGGGGACTCTGAGGAGGAAGAAGGGACTCTCCTTATCCACAGGGAAAGGAACCAGGAGAAATGAGTTTAGAAAGCAGCAAAAGAGAGGGAAAGTCGACTCAGGGAGGGACTTCCTAGCCTGAACAGCTGAGGCAGCCTGGGAAGAAGGGTGTTGGGGGAGTGACCCTGATCTGGCTGGAGGTCAGAGACAGACTCACACCTGCAATCTGAGGTTTCAGTCCCCACTGGATGGCTGGAGTTGGTGCTAGGAAGAAAACCAGGGAACAAGATTGAGCCTGGCAAGTTGGGAATGCTGCAGCCTGCCATGTGGTCAGGGGCTGGGGGAGCTGCTATATTGGGAGTCATATGGGGTCTCAGGGCCAGAGTCCAGGCTTTTCCTCAGCTGGCTCATGGTGACAAGGCTCAATCTCAGCTGGAGAATGGGCATGGGGGCTTCTGAGCAGCCAACCCAGGCCCAGCCCCTCCTGGGACCAGGTATATCCTGCCCTATGCCCCCCACTCCACACTGACCTGGGAACTTGCCATTCTGCACTGGGGGAGGGGGCTGGAATTTTAGGCCCCGGCCATCTGCTTTTTTGGAAGGGACCCCTGGAGTGGGAAGTCTGGGGAGAAGCAATGGAGAAACCCTCCCATTGCAGGGACCTAGATGGGAGAGGAAGGTAGAAGAAGGGAGAAGGCAGTGAGCCCAGGCCAGCACCTACCCAAGGCTGCCTTCCTGGCCTTGGCCTGATCAAGCCATCAGCCTGCAGTGGTTTCTAGGGCAGGCACAGCTTCCAAGAGGGCACATTGGCCAGGCCAGAAAAAGCCCAGTTCCTCTGGGTTACAACCTGCTCTGGGGACCAGGTGACCCAGCCATCTGACATAGTTCCTGCTGTTTGCCCACTGAGCCCCTCTGCCTTCCAGCGCTGTTCTTCCCGCCTCCCTCCTGCGCATCCCCCCAGTCCCTTCAACCTTACCTGGCTGGGCCCCTAACCCATTTCCATTGCCATATCCTGGAAAGAAAAAGTAGGGACATGAGGGGCAGTATTTGGGGCAGGAGTCAGGGGGTGGGTTCTAGGCAGGAGAAGGTATAGGACAGAGATGGGGGGCTGCTCTCACTTGCCTGGCTTCTGAGGTTTCATACCCCCTCCCAGACCTGCAGGAGAAACAAAGACAGCTCCAGCAGGGACCAGCCCATCCCTAGGAGTGAGCCCTGTCTCCTCCTTACTGAGGTCCCCACTGTACTCACCTGGTAGAAGCCCGGTCCCTGGCATGTATCCTAGAAGGAAGAGGAGAAATGAGGGCAGGGGCTGGGGTGGAGGGTATTTCTGGGGGAGGCGGGAGAGGGGCAAGGATGGGCTCACCTGGCTTTGGAGGGCTCACGCCCCCTCCCAGGCCTAGGGAGAGACAGAGTCTGAGTGACAGGTGAACCCCACTCTGCCCTTTTTTCCCCCAGGACCCAACTCTTTGCCCCATGGGGCCCTGTACTCCCTCTTCCCCTCTCTGCCGGAACTCCATGCCTGCCCTGCCTCCCTCATCTGGCTGGGCCCCTTTGGAAGACTAAATATACATTTCTTATAAATCACAATATCACAGTGGAGTTAGAGAGAAAGAGTTTACCTGGCTTTTGAGGCTTCATGCCCTCACCAATATCTGGAGAAGAGATGGGAGTAGGTGAGGGACCCATTACCCACCCACTGGGCCCCTCCTCCAGAACCTGGCATATGGCCCCCAGCACCCACTCTACCACCTGCCCAATCCACTACCTGCCCACTTCATTACCTGGTCCATGGCTGATGGGAACTTCAGGGCCTGTGCGGACAGGAGAGAGAGAGGCAAAAGGATGCTGGGAGCCGGGCTGCCTTTTCTCCCAGCTTAGCCCCAGAAATCTTGGGGCCTCCTCTGCCTCATGCCACCTCCATTTAATCACCAACACCATGCTCTCCAAGTGTAAGAGGAGCCCATGAGAGGACGCACAGAACAGGGTCTTGGTGAACTACCCCCAACGCCCCCTACTTTCTTCTCCTCTCCCAGTGCCAAGATTCTTTCAACCCCCTCAGTACCTGCTCTGTAACCATTCTGAGCTGGGGAACCAGCGAGAGTAGGAGGCGTGAGCAGGAGTTTTGGGACTCTGGCTAAGGCTGAGTGAAGGGCCGGTCCATGGTCCCCTCTTCAGAACCAAGCCAGAACCGGGAGTCTTGCAAGCTCTCCCTCAGCCCCTCTTAATCATTCACCAGTCCTGCCCCTCCAAGGCCTGGAGGAAGGCAGGAGAGGACACCCAGTTGTGGACCCCCTCCCCAGACCCCACCAGTCTCACCTAGCTGGGCTCCCAGCCTATTCCCATTCCTGAATGCTGGGGGGGAATACATCAAAGTGGGCTGTGAATGGGGAGTGGGGAGCTCTAGGTTTTGGGGAGGTGGAGAGATATGCAGGAATGGGGCTCACCTGGCTTCTGGGGTTTCACACCCACTCCAAAACCTGGCGGAAAGGCAGGTGGCAGGTGAGGGGCCCAGGCCCCATCCCCATACCTCCCCAGAACCCTGGCCCACTCCTACCTGGTCCATAGCCATTTTGTGCTGCAGGGCCTGTGGGGAGAAGGCAAGGGAATAATAAAGCTGGCCATGGATGGGGCTGAGGCCAGCACTGGGGGTCCCTTGGTCTTGCCTCCTACTGCTTTCCCAATGGTCTTTGGTGCCCATGACACCCTTCACCCCTGAAAAAGGTAGTGCCCTTCTTCCACACAGCCATGCACAGACCAAGCTCAATACACTGAATGTTGAGGGAGGTGGTGACAGAGAGGCCTGAGAGAGATGAGGAGGAAAACACCTGGCCCAGGAGTTTCACACTCCTTCCTTGGCCTGGCGAGGCAGAAAGGCTGATAGGGCTCTCCTGACTCCCCAGGCCCTAAGCCTCTGTCCTCCTGGTCCCCAGGGCCCCCCCAGCTTTTGCTTCTCTTCTCCCTCCTAACCCCTAAGAAACCAGGCCCAGCTGTCCTCACCTGGTTGGGCTCCTAGTCCATTTCCGTTACCATATCCTGGGAAGGAAAAACGGGAGTGGCCATGAGGGGCAGTGTATGGAGGGATTCAAAAGACAAGACAGAGTCTAGCAGCCTCAGACAAGGCAGGAGTACAAGGGAAGTCTCTTCTCTCACCTGACTTCTGAGATTTCATACCTCCACCCAGGTCAACTCTCTACCTCCCCATTGCTTGGCACCCAGCTCTCCTCCCCACTGGCCCATTGCTCCTAACCCTCCCCTCTCCCTCTAAGAAGCCTGGGCTCCTGCCGAAGAGAAGGCCCAGCAGTTTCCAGATTCTGG